CGCACGCCTTTCTCAACTGCAACAACAACGTCATTGTAGAAAGGGCGAAACACTGTTGAACATTCCGTGTAGCATTCACGCAGCACATCCACGTACACCTTTTCGACGCCTTGGTCTTCCAGCGCCCTCCATACCTTCGTTGGTTCCACTGAATCGAACGCCTTCTTGTAGTCAATGAATGTCATTCATTGTAGTCAATGACTCCGCACCGTCGCACATTCTAAACTGGGAGAAGTTCAAGAAGCTGTTGCACATTATTAAGCTAATTCCATCATTTTCGATAAAAGAATGGACACTGTTACAATTTGAGCGGGTAACCTTATTGGGATAGCCACTACCTTTCTCTAGTAACATTAAGGAAAAGGAGAAGGTGTGAACGAACCTTAAAAAGTAGTATGCAAAGAAGTTGATGGCCGTCGCAGAATTCACGAGGAGTCCTGCTAGCAATATGGACGAGAGTGTTGGACTACCAAGATTATCGCTCAATGCAACAAGCATGGCACTGAAGTTCCCGAACACGATTGAAAGACTTATGACAATCAACGATCGGTAGATGCTTTTCATGTTCTCGCTGCCTGAAATGTAACTAGCGTAATGCTAGAAGTCTTCAGTGGAGTGCCCTTTAAGACGTTAAAATTAGCATTTGTTTTATATTTCTGCCGCAACTGTGCATATGTACCTCGTTGAAGTATGAGATACTTTAAGGCATAACCAGAGGTCCAAACATTCGTGGAACTCGCTGCAATTAGGACCTGACCACTTTCACGATATATTCATTTATATTAGTAGATGGCAATTCTAGCGTGATAGCCTTGCTTGAAAAATTGTGAATACTCACAGATACCCACAAGGTTCTTGAAGCTTTCTTCCGTATCAGGTATCATGTGTAAGAATCTTTCGTTTCCTTTCTTGCCTTAATCTCGCATAGTGGTGATAGTGCCGACCAAAACGGAGAATGAGTATTCCTTGTACGTTACTCGCCATAAAACTTTGAAAATTTCGGTAAATCATGCGACTTCGCGTTGTTCCATTTTTCAAGTTGAATCAGGACGAGCTTTCATTGTCTGCGAAAACATTGAACTCAGCTCGTCGAGTTCTACAACGTGATGCTCCAAAGTTCGAGAAAAAACACTCATCTTGGAATGCGCTATGCACTCAAGTTGCATCTTTAGAAGTAGATGAATGCACACGGTAAGAACACAATATTACTCTTGCAAGCTGATCATTCGACGAGAATAAGTTGTTCAAAATTAGCTCCACGCCCTACGTACTCGAATTCCTCGTGTACATAGAGGAATTCAGGGACGGTAGTAATCTGGCCTCAGCTGCTAGTTACCATGTGACCATGAGCTCGTGGTAACTTGGTGATGGCTTCCATCCATGTCTCCCTAAAAGATGCGTAGAGCACCTCTGGAACCCCTCCGAAGATTCCCCGTCAGAATGGTCGAAGTGAGTTCGAACTCACTTCGGAAGTCCGGTGATGACATCACGTCGCAGTAAGAGGATTAGCAGGGTGGCCATCTGAAACTAACAACGATGGCGGCAGAGAAACAGGAAATTAGTGCGCGAGGGTGGAGACGCAATAATGCTTCCACTCTGAATGTGGCCATTTTTAGAAAGTCCTCCGGAAGGCTTTTTAGAGATGGCCACATTCAAACTGCCAGGCTGGATGGGTCAAAGCAGGGTGTTGGAAAGGGAAAGGGAAGCGCCTGCATTGATTCGTCAATGGTGTAGCGCCTGCGGTACACGTTGGTGTTGGATCGGGTCAATTCTTCAAGATGTCTAAAGGTTTGCAACCTTAGCAGACTATTCCCTTTTCTCTACAACCCTTTCACTGTCGATAAGAAGGGCTCCTTAGTGCAGTGGTAGCGATGTCGCTCATGGGACGGTGCACCAAAGGTTCAAACCCATGTGTGACGCAAGCTTTGCAGGCAAAGTGGTGGATGCTCACCATTTCCACTATGGCAAATTTCCAATGGCTCAATGGGAACGTTCCACGCTGCCGCTGGCAAGGTTGCTGGATCAACACCGCTTGCAGTCTAAGATTTGCAAACAACATCCGTTGCTTACCTGCCATGAACATGTCTTCCAATCAAGTGATTCCTGGTGCAGCGGCAAAACCCGACTACGAGTCCTATTGTCCAGGGTTCAAGTCCGAGAGTGGCGCAAGTTTTGCAGGTAGTGTGGCGAGGCTAATGGTTTCAAGAAGGGTCATGTCCATGTTTCCACGCTCCTTGTTCCTCGTCAATGGGGAAAAATCACCACATTTAATTGCTAGTTTAGGGTACTTTACTACCGTCCCTGAAAATAAGATATACTCCATATCTCGAAATCTGATCAGGAGTGTCTATGGGTTTCTATGGGTCGCACTTGAAGAAGTTGCACGGATAGGCTCCTCAAAATAGGGGGTACATTTGACGATTTTTCCAACTAGCGCGCTCCAGGCACAGCGCGCGACGCGATCGCGGGTAGTTAGCGCCGCTATACTGGAGCGCGAGACTGTTCAACTGTGTAGTAGGCAGTACCTCCTTCAATGTTCTACTTCCGGCCAATGTGGCAAGGCTAAATGTCTTGGAAGGATAGAAGGAGAAGCCAGTCTGATAGTGCTTTAGAATTCGAACCGCAGAGCATTTGCGGGGCAGCGAAGCTGCGTCCCTCTCGTACATCTAGAAATAGAATTGCTTGTTGTGAAACCGGTATGTGTGGACGGGGTCGTACCCGGTTACTGTCAAGTGGAGGAGGGTCGTAAAGAGGCGGTAATTTCTTTTTCTTTCTTTTTCCTCACGATTTTTACCCTGCCATCAGTCCACTTCAGCCGTCGTTGGTTTACTTTACAGGCTCATAATCCATTGTCGCACCCTGTCGAGGCACGAGTCGCTCATTTGTAGTGCTCGCGTGGGTACCTCTATCCTACTTGGAGAAAGTGAACTATTTGACAGAAGAAGAGTAAACTATTCGGAGACGATCTCCTCTGAGATTATTCCTCAAAATCGCCAACGTGCAATCGAATACTGTGCTCTACTTTGATACATGTGGAGCACTTGTGTACTCAATTCAAAAAACCTCTGTAAAAATTGCTGATAACATTATATAGAAAATGTACAATGTAGGATTACGTGAATTTTGCATCTGAAGGACTGCACACACTTCGGCTGACACCATTGGATGCATCCAATAGTTTACTTGTTTGTTTCCGTGTGACTGGAGCATTTGCGTGGTCAGCAGGCAGCGTGTGCAGTGAGGTCATCCATATTTGCAGACCGCATGAGACATTGTGACGCGCATCTCCAGAATGCTCTCATCCTTTTTTGCCTTTCTTTCGCGAATTCGCTTCTTTGTCCTATCTTTTCTGTTTACCATGTAGACAAACGTAGTCCCGATTAATTAATGAACACTCGCAGTACTTCAGCTCACACGAGAAGTACCAAAGCAAGGTTGGCTCCCATACCCAGGTCAATTTGTCTAATGGCACTGCTAACGTCAAGTGGTATCGCAAGCCTAGCTATAAAAACATCTTGATTCATGCGACGTCATCTCATCCTGTTGCAGTCAAACGTGCAGTTGTTAGGAATATGCTCACAACAGCAATTAGGATGTGCACTGGCGATGAAGAGCGTCAGAGAATCAAAGCGATTAGCTTTTAGCATAGCGAATGCAAACGGTTATGCGGCACCAACATGTCACCAAAGATTGAATGCTGGCCAGAGACACGTACCACGCCAAGAATGTTACCCTTATGCCTTCCTTTCATCTCCGCTGTAATACCTCGAAGTATCGTGAGATCACAGTTACGAAATGATGTTGCATTAGTAAATATTCCCAATGACAACATCAAGCGTCGGCAACAGACTGTACGACCGGCAGTGTTCGACAACAGGCTGCGTAATTTGTCCATATGGTAAGATTGGAGACTGTGAAAAAGTGGGGACAATTTATCAGCTTGAATGTCGGGTTTGTAATAGCACTTACATCGGAGAAACAGGAAGGATACTAGCTACTTCGCGTCAACGAACACCTAGCTGGAAAGAGGCGTGGTACAACGACAACCTCACTTGGCAAGCATAAAATTGAAGAGCATAATGGAAACGACTTTGATGTAAAGTGTTCCATCTTGGCGTACGAGACGGAAATTCCTCTAGGAAAGACCTGGAGTCATTCTGGATTTTCGCAAGAAAGCCACGAATGAATAACGAAATGAGTGCTTGTCGATTACCAGTGACTTTCTGCCTTTTGTATCAGAGTGTGATTTATAAGAATGGGCTACGTGCCTTATGACAGTCTTCGACCGATATGACAGCATGAGACTTCAGTGAGGTTCATTTGCCCATTTACTAACATTACCAGAAGGGCCTGAGCTATGTAGATGTTCCGCAGTGCTGGTGGAACCTTTGGATGAGTTCTTCATCATATTGAGTGATTCCGATGTGTTTCTCAACACGAGGTCGGAAACGCTAGGGTGGGGGGTGCTTGGTCGGGTAGCTTACAAAATCAAAAGCTTCGAGCTATCTTCAGGCCTCTGAAGAAGACGAAAAGGTCGAAACGTCGGGCCATTCAATAAAAGGTTCCAGCTATCAATCTCGATTGGCACATAAGAATTAAACAAATTTTGAAGCGTCTCCATTTTAGGTGCACGATTCCTACTAGTAGCTCTTTGAAAACACAAAATAAATTTTTTCAAGTTCTGCGGGTAGACTGGACGCGGATTCCACACGGCACAAGCACTCTTTGGTAACATCATTCGGGTGCTTCACCACTGAGACCCAAGCAGTCCAGTTTGTACTTTACTGCTCTCTCTACTGCTGTCATCCAGAGCCTGACGCTCTCATTAAGAGCTCGACTTTTGCTGGTCAGGAATCATGTTCTGAGCTCCTCTATCAGTTTTAGACGAGCTCGCTTCCATGACTTAGCATATTTTTCATATGATCAAAAAAAGAAGTTCAAAAGATTTCCAAAACAAAGCACTCACTCATCTGTAGTTCTTTTCAAAAAAAGTCCGAAGAAGCAGTAGCAAATAATCAGAAGCACACATATTATCGCAATTGTTTGGAGATATATTTGATTGATAGGGTGGACAAGCGGTGACGCCAGCGTGCAGACCACGTCTCTGTAAACCAGTATTGGAAAACTGCTTCAGCATCCGTCCAATCACAATTGCTAGCACAACATACTCGTCGTTCTTGTAGAGAATTATCATAATGTCTATAGTTGCTCCGAATATGCACGCTGGCAGTAATTGTGCTACTACATAAAGTTTCATGTAAGTAGTGGCTAGGAGTTCGCTGAATGTGAAGAGAACATGATAGATAAATCGACTTCTTTCGTGTTAGCAAAAACTGAAGTTTTCTCCCTTCCTTTCAGTGTTTCACAAAAAAAGAACCCTTTCTATACGAATGTGTTTCATAGGTGATCCAAGGCCTAACAAAAACAAAGAAACAAGAGAACATCGGGCATTCTTGCATTTTTGGTAAAATTTCTCGCGATTGCTTCAGTAACTTCCACTCGGCCCGGAGAACTTTCTTGGCCTGCAACCTACGTATTTGAATTCAGCACGGCTTGGGACTATAGTCAACTTTTTCAGAGAGCATCATGAGCTGCAAAGACTTTTATAACAAAATCAAAAATGCCCTGTCTCAGAAGTACAGAGGCACCCTAGGCAAGAGGAACTGAAAGTAGAACTTCTACTTCCTGTCAACTCGTTTGCGGTTTTTGAATATGTTTAGTGAAAGCACCCAAACTTTTCAATGTGCCTGGATTATTTGAGCTTTCCACCTGAAAGCTGAGTTTGTGCGAAGGTCAAATGCATAGCTGCTCAACGTAACAAATCTCTTGGCTGTATTAACAAGTTTCATGCGATATCCAGCCTTCTGTGCGAACAGCGTGCCCTTCTACAGAATAGCTCCAATTCAGGTGGTACCCCGCGACGTCTCAGTAGCGCACCTAAGGTCCTTGCACAATATTTTACTGCCTACTAGCGAAGATCCGTCCACAAAACAATCCCCCGAAATCTTCTTTAGGATCTAGATCCGGACTGCGTGCGAGCAGCCAAGCCAAAATCATTAACTTCGTTGACGCTGAGCGATTGTTAAGCGGATCGGATTGCAGTAGACAGAGGCTTGTCGAGTGTGAAGATGAAATTCCACAGGCGACTTTCACTCAGTAGCGACAGTAGATGATCAGCAATAACATCCTCATAGCCGCCTCCATTCTACTTGAAACATAAGCCAGAAATTGTGCAATTGCACAATGCAGCCCACATCATCTGAGATCCACCACCGAAATTCCTCCGGCTTAAGTTCTTATCGGAAGAGTTAACCCAAGCCTTGACTAGTCACCTCAATGGAGCTGGCTCGCAATCCTGTAGCAATACCTGTTGAATCCCACTTCGTTCGTATGTTCTTACGAGGTAATTCAAGGCGAACTGCTTCGTGGAGCTCACTCAGTCAAGGTGCTTTCATTATGGACTCTCGCACAACACTGGGAGTTGAGTTGGCAGTTCTACATGTGATTCTTCTTGAGGCAGAAAGCGAAGGCTCACGAAGAACCTGCTTGACTGGGGTGTAGAACTGTAAAACTATTGCTGTTATGAGGTGCTTCGTAATATGATAACATTCAGGGTTCTTCAGGGCTTGAATCGCCCAGGCACGCTGTCGGCCAGTGTGCCTTCATTAGACATGTCTACAGAATCGCAAATAAGGTGATGACGCTGTTTGGAAGTGGCGGGCTTTCCTTGAACGTTGAGTCCCATCACTATTGAGCCGCTGGTACATCGTTCGACTCGCTGGTGCGTCGGTCGATTCGCAACCTAAAACATCGACCTAAGCCCGTTCCAAGCTATATCAAGAAGCCGTGAGGCGTGGACCTATTCACTGGAGGCGAGCTACTTTCTCTACTTCTCTCCTAGCAAAGATTAACACTCATGTCAAAATAATAGATGCTAAGATGGCACACCACATATTGAGCACAACCGGATCGCCGTTAACAGAAGATAAAACAATTTAGTGGCTTCAGGGCTTTGGAAAAAGGCTATATACAATGACTCCCAGTCGTCATTTCATTCTTGTGCACTGTGAGTCAGTTCTCAACATTCATGACTCATCAATGACAACATTCATGACTCACTCATGAGGAATTCAGACATGCTTCTTTGTGCCATCGATGTAGCAGCTTCTTTCTTTATCTGTAGAAACGATCGGCTCCGCCTCGCCTCGCTAACATAAACAATCAACGCATTCTACAGTTCAGCCTGCGCCGAAGCCGGTCGCTCATCATTAAACGTTCTTTATATGTATCTCTAATGCTACAAATTTGCCTGTACTTTATGTCGAACATTTATTACCCTTAACATGATAAACGTTTACTTAAAGGCACAACCCAGGCAGAGGTCGTGTGAACGCTTCTCTTCGGTCTGTAGTATAGACCCTAGAGGACAATCACAAATGTGGCGTTCCTCGTGCACGGAAACCAACCGAAAGAGCGCTTGGGCCTTGCAAAGTAAGCTGCCCAAGCTGCAGACTTTTTTTCTCTTATCAGGCTGTTGTCTGGCGCTCTCTCATCTGTAGCGCTCTCTCGCCTCATACTCTCCTCTCCGCGCTTAGTCTCTCATTCCCTTAGCACAGCCGATTAGGAAGGTGAGTGAGCCCTTAACCTAAGCGTTTTTGACGGATTCTTTTCCTTTTTTCTTTACTGCCGGCCCACTTCGCACCAATACATTCACATTCGTGCACAAGAGCCACACCATGTGATCCTGGGGCATGCCTTTAACCAATTTGAGCCGTCTATCTGTGCAGCTTGGAGAAATTCGAGCTAAAAAAACCGCGTGGCACTCTACAAAGGAAAGGCAAGCTGAATCCCGATCAAAAGATCACTCCCCACAGTCGCGATAACATATGCAAGGGAGAGAATTCACAGCTTCACTCAGAGGTCCATGCTATTTGACTCGATCTACTGAATGACGGTTGATGATGATCGAGTTCCAGCGAGAAGAAGAATGGAATGGTTGGAGAACGATGAATATGATATCAAAGCGTTATCTATGCTGGTGCAGATAGAGCTGAAACGCTGGATCGCTATATTTAGGGCATAGAATAGGAACTGACTCGGTCTAGAAAGTTCTATACGACGAGAAAGTCCAAAATAAGGAACAGTTTGTATCAGTCTATCAGGACCATGGAGGAGCTAGAACAAAAGATCGACAATATTTCCTTCGAAGCTGGCAATGCGCAGAAAGCAAGATAATAGCTCACTTTCCACCGTCAAAAAGGAAATTCTGTCAAGAAGTTGGAGACGAACCTTCTACCAGCAAGGTGCATGTAATGTCCGACGAAGAGTACATAAAGAACCTCACTGAATAGTGCGGAGATGAAGGCGAACCTTCATGAAACCGAAACGAAATGTAACCTGAACACAGCGATTACAAGAGAGTAGAGCAAGAAAAAGGAAAAGCCTGAATACGTTCGGTATGAGAACGACCGACAAAAGTATCAAAAACAGGAACGCCAACAACGACCGCGACCT